TCAGACTTACGTTACCTATTTTAAATATATAGTCAACTCAACTGGGATCGAATACCTAGAAATGAATCACTTGAATTGTATTCTTTCTCTTTTGAAAGGTGACCTAATTGTATATAATCTGGCCAAAGAGTCAGACAATCTCCTTGCAACGGTTGGCTGTACAGAAGGCGGTCACACGGAATCAATCAATGCCATTGAATGGCTGTGCGATGAGTTTGGTCGAGTCGCCGGAGATCAAAGCATGCCCAAGGATGCGCATCGATTGTCAGTTGTGAAGCTTTTGACTGCCGGGGGCGATGGACGAATTATCTGTTGGCGTTTGGATACTACACGCCTTCCAGCAAAAATGAAATGCACAAACGTGTAAGACTCGGGCATGATTCTAACTTAAAACAGTGTTATAACTCCACAAGGCGGTGCCTGGTCGAGAATAGTTCCTTTATGGCAGATTACAGTTAGAACATTGATCATTTCGCACACAGATAACAAAATATCTCATTTGAAACCCGTCATCACAATTCCCGGAAGCACACAGGATAGTGAATGAAACGGTTATTCTTTGGAGCAAAGCAAATCGCTCTTAGAGGCGCTGTCTATTTTTGATCGCCAATGCATCTTTTTTTAACTGCTCACAATTGTGAGTGGTATCTCAGTAATATCTGACACCACCGGGAATGAGATTGTTTTAAATATCACAAAAAGTTCAAAAAAGGTTTTAAATTTCCATTTCCAAATAATAAACTCACTGATGCATGGAATAGATGTTTATAGATAAAACATGCATCTTTAAACCTATCCTGTTCGGTGAACTACCACAGATTGAAAGGAGAACACCAAAAGCCTTTATCGAATGACAGCATGCTTTGATTTTCTGTAGACAAAAACAGAAGTTAAACAGTCTCTTACTGATATAATATGTCACCATGCACTTCAGTTTTATAAGACACGCGTTCATTCATTTCACATTCCAGATTCCAAATAAGAAACATGGATCAACCATTGCCGAGACGAGTCATGTACACAGTTTCCTCCAGTAGGCGACAGACTATGGAAAAGCTAGCTGTACACGGAGAACATGCGGTTAGCCTGACTTCAGCCATCCTATCCCCTCATCAGCCGGATCTGATGATTGTCGGAACTGACAGCGGTGGAGTCCTCATGTGCAATCTAAGTAAATTCGGTCCAACAGAACTGGCGGGTATGTACTGCCCCTGAAAACCTGTATGTGGTTTACAGTTTAACCTAATACCCTACGCCTAACCTCAACATTGATCAACCGGCTGCCCCACCAGAATTATGCAATGCTGCGTAGACGGCGGTGTTCAAACACCGACAGTCTAGCTTTATCCTGTTTTCTTAATGGTCAAGTTTCTGTGCCTCAGAACTGGCCGAACTACCGCGGCATTGACTCGACCTTTGACGGACAGCCGGATGTCGCGACGGCACCACAGATATCTCAAGTTGGCAGATGCCAGCCGATCCTTCTGTATGCGAACTGACATTTCATCCATGATGCGTTCACCGGGTGAGATGTAGCTGCCCAAATAAGAAAACTTACTTATTTGCTCTATTACTTCCCCAGTTAGAATGAGAGAGTTTAACCAATAATCTAACGTGTCCTGTATACTGCCTGAGCAGAACGTGAACTCATTGTTTAGAGTTGACGAAATGGCACTCTAGTTAACTTTGAAAGCTGGGCTTGTTAAACAAATTGTTCAATCAATTTGGTGCCCTCAAGAAGCTTACAATCTATAGAATGAATCGAGAATGGACGTCAATCTGTCAAGTTAGGAAACATAAAGGGTAGATTTTCAGTAACTTGCAAATTTGTGCAGCGGATACATAGACAATTAAGATAAAAGAGTAAATTAAATACTGAGTCTTCCATCAAGGTGGGTAAGGACTGAGGATTTACATGCAGGACGGAGTTGATATTTGGAGCGAGTTCGGGGATTTGATACGGCTTTCACGATCTCGCGATGCAGACAGCGACCCCTGACCACGTTTCACTAGGTCAATAAAAGTTCCGCAAGCGCCGGAAGGCTTGGAAACAAAAAAATACCAACCAAGGAAACGCTATCAATTCCACTGTATTAGGAAAAAAGGTGAAATCTTGTCCCTTCTGAACTATCGGGGAGCAGTATTATAACCAGTGTGGAAGGATGCAGGGGCAATCGTGAAGTTAAAAATGAGGTTATGTGGAACTGCCAGTTGCCCGAACCGGTATGCGTAAAAAAGCTAATAATATGAGGAAACCAGGGCAGGTTATCCGGAAGAGTGCCACCGAGGTATTTAACAAAATCAGATGTGGGGATGTTTTTACTACAAGAAAAGAGCGATTACTTACCAATGCAAGAAACCGGGGTCCGGTTTTAAGACTAGAGAAAAAATCGATGCATTTTTGAATGTTGAGTTCAAGTGATCGATACACAGATTAATCGTGAAGTTCATTAAGGCTGTTCTGAAGAGAGTTAAACTGTCTGGAATAGGAGATAAGCAACCAATAACAATAACACCAGCTTGCAAGCATGTAAGCAATGAAGTTACGGAGAATGGGGAAATTCTGTATGTATGAAGAGAAAAGAAAAACCAGAATCGATACTAGAGAAACATGACTTTGTGCCAACATAAATGACATCAACCGGGTTCTGCAGGATAGATAATCGAGTAAAAAATTCAAAATTTCAGGCAAGACCCCACTTAGAATGACGTTCATTAAAGAACTCTTGGTGTGCCTTATTTGATGAGTTCTTTAACACACTTTTGGAAGCTGCCAAACTGGATAACTTTTGTAATGGTTTATTCAATCAATGGGTTTGGCATAAATCTTAAATTACATCAATTGGTTGGTACTGGTGTGCAAGTGTTTTTTCTCTAAATGAACAGAATAAAATGCCACCTGAATGATTGAACTCTCTTCTATTCAGAACTGGAAGAAGACGTTCTGAGCTGTGTTGATTTGCTCCACATTTACCAACCGCTCACTTGAATCGGTAAAGTTCATCTGGGGCGCATCACAAGAGATGATAATCAGTAAAACAATAGTGCGAACGTCTGATTAAAGCTAGGAAAAACATCTAAACTGCACCGACTGTTTCTGCGCGAAACACGGATGGAAAAGTCCAGACTTGATCAACCTGACTGTGCTCAGTGCTAACACCATCGCATGTGGGTTACCTAATCACCCTTTGAATGATCGGGTCGGTTAAATTGATAACCTGTGGCAAGGAAATGCTTCATGATAACTGGTACTTATTTTGGCATGTATTGTCTCGTGCAGTCCAATAGAGCTAGTGGGCGCCGAAACCATCCATAGGGCAAACTATCGCTCTGCTCTGTCTATAAACATGTCAGTACTACTGGAAGCGAACTAATGGAAAACACGCGGGTGATTGTGGGACGAGTACGCACGCACCACGGTACAGCGTCCAAGTATCCAATCAGGAATCGACTAGTCCTGTGGTTTCAATTGGCATCAATCAGATTGATGGAATGCAAGAAGGCAACCAAACGAGTCATGTCGTTGTCGATCGGACATTGAAGAATCGACCAATTATTGTTGAATGCTTGTGATATTTATTTACATGATTTTCCGAATAGAATTGCCCACGGCTAGTCTTGGCTCTAACTGACTTTACGCCATACAGTGGGTTTTCAGTTCGAATCCAAGTTCGCGCTATTCGATTCCGAATGCTACTGTGATCCAGATCTATACAGCCGGTAGAAAGGCAATAAAATTTCAGGGCTCTGGTTGGTTGCACAACGCCCAAATCGGTCGCTATCTATCGCGAACAAGCTCCTTTGATTGATATGAGCAATCGGTGGGATTACGAAGCAGTTATGCAAAGTTACTATTTTGTATCGAAGCCATGTTGGTCAAGTTGAAACGCCCCCNCATTGAAGAAATATTTGCGTCCCCCCTGAAATTAATCTAGCTCTTTTCTTCTTTCTTGTTCAATTCATATACCTATACGCGCATGTATGGACTTCACGTTGGCACGAGATAAACATGAACAAAATGCACGCATTCAGAAATATTTACTTTCTTTCCGGTTGTGTTAATTAAAATCCGACCGCACAGAATAGAATTTATATTCCAATACGAGATAGGAGCGTGACAGATCGGCAGTACATGTAAGGATGTCTCGCATAAAAATGTTCAATTTTACCTGTCAACAATTGGAATGGGGATCATGTTGCCCAGTTTTGGTTTCCAACGGGTAGAAGTCACGTGTTTGTGCATTTTACATTACTAGTTTTATCTTGGTAATTCAAGCAGAAGATAAATGCTGCACAAAATGTCAAGTTTTCCATTTTGGACTGAAAGAATAATAAACACCAGTTGGAGTTCCACAGAGAAAGTAGTTTATCGTGTATTTTTTATCAGATAGTGTCAGGCACTCTTGGCCAACCGAATAAATACTCTGATTCTACCTAATCAACTAGATTATGTTCCCATTTTCGATTGTCCGTAGTTACAAGGAAGTATCCACAATAATCTTTTCCCACTTTGGTTGAACCACAGCACCAACAATACGATATCAATCTCCTGTGGAATTTGCCCTGTCTCGACAGATGGGTCCCATTGAAGCACTAGACTGGTCAAGAAGTGAACGAAATCTGGTACTCTCTTGCGGATCAGGAACAACCATTCAAGTAGGTCAATGCATAATACCGCAAATCCAGGCTAATTCCCCGTGGTTCATTTGGCATTTACCGATGCCCATCCACACTGACTGAATAACACCAAAGTTGTCGGATTCTTAGTGGAAGAAAGGACTCGGACCGCTGTTAGGGTTCACCACCTTCCGTTCATGCAGTTTTGCACATGTTGTTTACACTTAGGAATGAAGCTAATTTTTGGTGAATATGAGCTCCGGATTTCCCCTACTGTGATCTAATTACCCATTGGTATTTGATGTCTAATTAACCTTTTAACTTTATAGATCTGTTTTTTATTCTTCTGAGAATGACACTGCATACAGTAAAATTTATGTTGCATAAGCTCGTGTCCGTGTTTGATGAAATCAAAATGGAACACATCAACAATTTTTCACAGAAATTGGAAAACCTTTCAGGTCCACTTTACAAGAATATAGCTCACGTATTTTTACTTGTTTGCGTGTGTGCATCCGGCCTCAATCGATGCCCAGTCTTACATCCCGTTATGTGTTTGCCCTAATCATCACAGTGCTTTCGCGACCCTCTGCCCACGTAGTTGGTTTCAGACATATCCGAACATGTGGGACTTCTTGGACACACACCTCACAAAAACCCAGAGCGTTGGAATTCACGCCTAATTTCATTGGATAACACGTATTCACAACAGATTCGCCCAGGTCGCGCTCACTTTTTTGGCAATCTCGAACAGATTCACTACAAACCAATCCTCACAGTCGGACTAACCCTTTCAACTATGACTACTTGAACAACCATTAAATTATTCCGTAGTTTACCGACTCACAGTCACTGTTGTGTGCAACATTGCTGTAACCTGATTACTTTCCACTGGCTTCTTGTGTGCATAACCCAGACTGTTGGATATGTTGTACAGCTGAAAACCAACGAGAATCTAACTGCAACATCTTTTGGGGAAGATCCATGACAATTTGTTTTAGGTAAAACATTCTATCTTTTTGTTCAACAATGCACGCATATCGTTGATATCCTTTGTTTTCCATCTAGATCCACAACACCCTTCAAAGTGACCTGTCAGTAAATTTGGATCTAGGCCAAGGGAATATCTTAGCCGCCCAATTTCTTCCAGATCATCCAAGCATTGTTCTGTGCACCACCGAAAACGGCACTCTGTCCGTGTTCAATCTGTTGAGTGAATCCGGCGAATCGAATGAAAATTACGAATCAGACCATGGCCCGAATCTGATCTGTTGCGTGAACCCATCACACGAGCTCCGGGACACGATGAAACTAACTCCAACCCCGATGATCTCATTGGCTTGCAACCACGAAGAGTAAGTGAACATGAATTTGGATTTTGATCTATTCAATTTTAGTTACCGTTTTGTGGCTACCGGGGATGCGGACGGTCGGACGTGGATATGGCGGTTCACTGGTCTACCGCATCTGTCTGCTGCACAATCAAAATCGTCCGTCCTAGATCGATTGTTTGCGAGGCCTGTGGAGTAACGCAATACATTTTTCTGAATCCCGTTTGACTTAGTTACTGATCCCGACTTTGGAATGCTAACGGTTATTCGATGAAGCTAAGCGATCGGGGTCATCAAGCCGCCTAACTTTCCCCATTCGTGTGTTGTATGGCAGCCCTTTGATTATCCGCTTCCCCCTTACCAAAACTCATACCACTGTGTATTCAATAAAAGTAAATATAAAAAAAGGTAAACTTAGACGGTTTAAGACGAAAAAAACGAATAATGAACAATTAAGCAATTAATTAATTCTCTGTGAAAAGACCCAACAATCGTATGCAGGAGTGAGCAAATGAGCAGACACTCGATACCCGATTGTAGATGCATCAATTTGACAGACAAATTTGATTTTGAACACCGAGGTTTTTTATTTGAGTTAGGAATGGAATTTTTCATTCGATTTACAAACAGTATGAAATACAATTAAAAAATGTATAAAAATGCTTGTAACATTAAGGAAAAAACTCTGTCACATAGAAAAATCTGGTACACAAATCATTCTCCCCAATATCAGAAAGACAACAGGTGTAGTAGTAATAGTAGTAAACAGAATCGAGAAAAGAGAATCTCAACGTGTAAAAAGACAAATGCCGAGTTCACAACACGGCGTGCGTGGGCGTTGCATAGACAATGCCCGCACACGCGTGTTCTCCCTGATTAGATATTTAAAATAGCCTGATCAGCAGTCGATAAAATCTCAGTCACACCAATACGACGTAGCAGCTTGAACAATTTGCACAGAGCCCGACTACTGTCCGACGCTCGTGATGAATTGCTCGGTGGACAAACAGTACACGTGCCGGGGCAGCCCACGATGACCAGTTTGTGTTTCGCTCTGGTCAGTGCGACTGTGAGTCGCGGGAGATTGTCAAGCAAGCTCAATCGACCATCGGATTGTTCATTCTGATATAGAAAGAGCGGGGGTAGGGGAGTGTGTGTGCGAATAACGAACGGAGGATAAATCGTGGCTAGCAAAACCAAAACGACCAACATGTGAACAGAACACGCTTAAGTGGGTAAAACGAAAATACACATGAATTGGACTCACTTGGTTGGATGAAAGGTACGCAGCGTTTGTCCCGGAACACACTGTCAACGAAAGTAGAATAAGCCGCTTGTCTCTTCCCTGAAACTGATCGACAGTATTAACTTCGACAGACTGAAGTTCTTCCCCGAGCGACATGGCCCGGTGGTGGGAACTGTGCAAAAGATCTTTGATCGATGCGACTTGTTTCCGGTGCGGTGAGATTATTCCGATATCAGATGGATTCAGTCCAAGCTGAAAGGGAAATCAAAATTTGTGGTGTTTCAAACCCAACAAAAGTGAAATAGCGCCTCGGAGAAAAAGGTGTAAAGGAGGAAACACAAGTACATGTTAAAACCAGAGTTAGCGCGTAAAAAGTGCTAAGACTGGACAAACTGTTTTGTATACCAACCAACTCACATAGATCCCATTAGGCGCACGGTTAATGGTTGTAAAAACTGAACTGAAATATCAGCGAAAACGGTCATTTGAGGAAACTGAAACCGGTGGTGTATATGACCTCACACGAAGCGAGGATGCTTAATTCCGAGCCAAATATTTCAAGCGGAAGTTCGACAATAGTAGTCGAATCATCTAAGAAGCTGCTCACATTTACTTGTACACTTCTAGATTTAAACTACACAACCCGACCGATTATTAACGTAAGCGACCCTACTGTGATTCGATGCGATATCGCAAGTTTAATCCGAGAGCTTTGTAGCGGTTGAACCTCTCAAGACTTAGTCAAATATTGAATGCTTCGAAGTTGATTTGTACTTTAGCTTAAAACGCAACGAGTTTCGGATTATTGCACATTCGGTGATTCGATGGTTTATATCTAAAAGGACAGGAATCATGGATTACCAAGGATCAGACTACAAATGTTCCACGGTCAAATATCATGCGCAGGGGTTTCAGCTAACAGTAATATTTACATTACACGTCCTGTTCGATACGTGTACGCATACGGGAAGTTACTTTCTATTTAGTGATCTTTTATTTATTGAAT